CTGGAGCCTGGGAGTTCAAGACCAGCCTGGGCAACATAGAGAGACCCCCATCTGTACAAAACATTAAATAAAAAATTTAGCATGTGGTGGCCATGCCTGTGGTCCCAGCTACTTGGGAGGCTGAAGCAGTAGGATCAATGGAGTCTGGGAGGTTGGGGCTGCAGTGAGTTGTGATTGCACTACTACACTCCAGCCTGGGCAACAAAGCAAGACCATGTCTCAAAACAAAACAAAAAAACCTTTGTTTTCCTTTACTTCCCTGAAAACGCACGTAGTTTACGGTGGCACTGGTATTCCATTGCAATGCCCGTCCCGGAATAAACATCAACTACTTTTAGAGAGTCTTCCTCTCCTCTCTGTTTGTTATTTAGGTTAACACCTCTATAACGTGGGTCACTGGTCTCTAGTCCCACTATCCCAGAACTGCTCTCTGGTTAAAAATAAAATAAAATAAAAATATAGGGGTCCCTTCTTCCCATTCTCACCTCTTAAGCATGACCTCCTCCCACCCTTGAATGGACTTGGCATTGCGGGCAGAAAGGGAGAAAACCACCAGGCAGCTTCCCCAGCTGGGGACAGGGAGGGCTCTGGGCCTTTCCTAGAGCCACAGTCCCCTAAGCCTTCGTGGGGTGGGGGTGCCCCCTCCCCAGTCTGGCCTGAGTCACACTCCTGCACTGGATCTCTGGGTTTCCATGACAGCACACTTCCATACATGCCAGTGGACCCCAGGGACACACTTGACACATGTGCATTGAGTCTATATGTGCCATACACTTTTCTAAGCTCGTTACATGAATTATGTCATGTAATTCTCACAGCAACCCTGTAAGACAGCATCCCCGATTCGCACATAAACTAAGGCACGAAAAGATTAGGGTGCTTGCAAGGAAGTTCACATTTCCTCCTCTCAGCCTCCTCTCCCACACTCAGTGCCACAGAGCCTGCAAAAGGTCCAAGGCAAGAAGACCAGCAGCCTGAAGATCAGCTCCCCTGAGTGGCTGACCAGGAACTCCCTGCATCATGAAAACCCACAGACACAGCTGAAGGAAGTATTGGCCAGCTGGGCACAATTACATACCCAAAATAGACAGGAAACTGGGAGCCTGCTCCCTCAGCTTTCCACTATGAATGACCCTTTCCATAACTCAAGAAATACAGATTGGGCCAGCTCCTGTCCAAGCAGACAGCACCCCCAGGTGGGAAAAGCAGCAATGACACCATCTATGACATGAACACAGCTTGCCAGGTGGGGCAGTGCTTTGGGGGACAAAATGCATGTTTCATGGAGCATTCCAGGCCCTTACTGACAGTGGAGTTTGCCATCTGAGAGTTGCCTGATGCCTGAAGGTTCACAAGAGTTACCAGGAAAAAGCCTTTCATGTTATTATCTAAATTAAACACAACCTTTTTTCTTTCTAAGAAGTTTCTCATAATCACATGGAAGAAATTCCTCTTGTGAAGACAAAGAAAAGGGGTGTGTGGGTGTGTGTGTCTTTCTCTTTTTATTTTTTTATTTTTTTATTTTTAGAGACAAATCTCACTCTCTCTCCCAGGCTGGAGTGAAACGGCACAATCATAGCTCACTTCATACAGCCTCTATCTCCTTGGCTCAAGTGATCCCCCCACCTCAATCTCCCAAGTAGCTGGGACTACAGGTCCTGGCTAATTTTAAAATTTTTTGTAAAGACAGGGTCTCACCATGTTGCCCCAGGCTGGTCTCAAATTCCTGGCCTCAAGCTATCCTCCCACCTTGGCCTCCCAAAGCACTAGGATGACAAGTATGAGCCACCATGCCCAGACACGTTTGGTTTATTACAGCACATCAGTTTCTCCCACACTCAGTAGACTGCACCAGGGACTTCAATTCTTCATCCCTCCCTCTGTCCAAATCTTTTACCTCCATATTGCAAAATTTCTCTCCATAAGGAAATGGAGTGTGTTTTCTGTCCCTTGACTGGGAGTTTGGCCACGTGACTTGCCTCAGTTCACAGGGCCTAGTGGATGTGAAATGGTGGAAGGTCTGAAAGACACATGTGCTCCTGGGCTTACCCTCGTGCCCTCTGCTGTCACCATGATAAGCATGTGCCCAGGCTAGACCACTGTCTCAGGAGGAGGACAAGAGGCTCACGGAACAGAGCCCAGGTGCCCTGGCAGAACCGATCCTGGATCAGCTGAGCACCAGATGCATGGCTGTAGACTTGCCCAGAACCCCTGAGAGTATCTGCTGCCTCTGGACATGCAGCTTCCCAACATCACAAAGCAGAGGGCCAGATGTGTAAAAGTTTCTCCCTGGAAGACCGGTTCCTCCGCCCCTGTGGTGCTGGAGGAAGGTGTCGTCCTGGAGGAAGGAACTGGGGAAGGTGCAAGGAGGCAGAGTGAAATAAAGGAGGTGTTGACTGGCAGAGCACAGAGCTGAGACACCCCAAGATGAAATGACGGGGATTAATTACTAAAATGCTGCTCAGGCAATAAAGAAAATAATTCTGTTTACTAAGCATCTACTATTTGCCGGAAAAAGTGCTAAGCATTTTCAATAGATGGCTTCATTTAATCCTCAAGATGACTCTTCATCTTGAAGAAGGTGCTATATAACCATTTTAGAGATGAGGAAACTGAGGCCCAAAGAGGGTTAGCCACTGACTAAAGGTCACGGAATTAGTAAGTGAAGAAGTGGGGATTCCAACGCTGTTGATAGACTGCTGTTAACAGTCCAAATGCCCAACACCAAATGCCATTTTTGCACCCCACCCCTCAGGCCACTGCCTCCAGTTTAGCTCAGTAACTCCTAGGGACTTAGTTTCTGCTGCCCAGACTCTCTCATCAGCTTTTGGGGTCACTTTGTCTGTATTCCTAGGCCTAGCTCTAGCACCTGCATCCCTGGCCTAGGCCTGGCACTAAGGAACTCAGCAACGGAACAGGGTTGGCCAGTGGCTCTAGAGAGGGAAGATTTGGCTACTTGCTGAACAAAGATTGAGCAGGCAGTTCTTCTGTGCCAGGTGCTGCCCTAGGAGTACAGTCCATGCTCACTTCGATTTGGCTGTGAGCTCACAAGACAGATGCTGCCAGCCTAGGGATGATAGTGGCATCAAGCCAGGTCCACGGCACCAGGGAAATGAGGTATGCCTTCTGCAATAGGGGTGGTACAAATTGCGTGGTGGCTCATGCCTGTAATCCCAGCACTTTGGGAGCCCGAGACAGGCGGATCACGAGGTCAGGAGATCGAGACCATCCTGGTTAACATGGTGAAACCCCGTCTCTAATAAAAAATACAAAAAACTAGCCGGGCAAGGTGGTGGGCGCCTGTAGTCCCAGCTACTCGGGAGGCTGAGGCAGGAGAATGGCGTAAACTCGGGCGGCGGAGCTTGCAGTGAGCTGAGATCCGGCCACTGCACTCCAGCCTGGGCGACAGAGCGAGACTCTGTCTCAGGAAACAAAACAAAACAAAACAACAAAAAAAAAATTTGATCCCCAATGTTGGAGGTGGGGCCTAATGAAAGGTATTTTTGTCATAAGGGCAGATCCCTCATGAATAGATTAATACCATCCCTCAGGGGTGAGAGTTCTCACTCTCTTAGTTCCCACAAGAACTGGTTGTTAACAAAAGCCTGGGACCTTCCCTCCTCTCTCCTGCTTCCTTGCTTGCCATGTGATTTCTGCACACTCGTCTCCTCTTTGCCTTCCGCCATGAGCACAAGCAGCCTGTGGCCCTCACCAGAAGCTGAGCAGATGCTGGCGCCACGCTTCTTATACAGCCTGCAGAACCTTGAGCCAAATAAACCTCTTTTCTTTATAAATTTCTGATCCTCAGGTATTTCTTTACAGTAACAGAAACAGACTAAGGCAAGGGTCCAGCTCTGTGTTTCCAGGAGAGGCAAGAGGAACTCATCACATGGGGAAGTGAGGGTCTAGCCTGCTGCTCGGAACACTATGAGATTGAGAGAGGATCAGTTGATTGGGTGAAAATGGACATTCACAAGCTGTCTACACACTGAGCCGGGACTAACTAAGTTTTGTTTGTCAAAAAGCCAGTCGGTTCCTGGATGATAAACTCGGAATCCTGTTTGGGTTCAAAGTTCCCAATGGGAAGAAAAATTGTAAAAAAAAAAAAAAATTCAATCTTTCTCTGCCCTTTTGTCACCACCCACATTCTCAGAGGTAGTAGTCACTTATGACCCTGTCTGTGCCTGAAAGCTGGCTCCAGAGGGAGCCTTCCTGGCAGATGTGCCCTTGACAGCCACTCCAGCCAATCAGAGTGGCCCGGTCATCAGCCACTCCAGCCAATCAGAGTGGGCCGATCATCAGGCACCTCCCCTCCCAGGAATGATGGGCCATTCCTTCCCACAAATCTTTAAGTCTCCCTACCTGTCTGGGTTCCTCAGAGCTTCCTCAAAGTCTATGCTCAGAGCCTTGAACATCTGGGAAAGTGAGAGCAGGTCCCCAGTAAAAGGCTGTTTGGGGAAACGCCACCGGTTGGTTGAGCCAGCGATCCGGCGTTCCAGCCGAGCTCTGCGCTGCTTGGTAATCAAAGAAAGAGAAGACATCTTTTTTTCTAACTTCACATAAATGCCAGATTTTCCAAATTGTACAGCAGGAAGGAAATCAAGACAAATTTTACAGTGCTGGTTAATTTTTGAACATGGCTAATATTTCTCACGAGACATCTCAAGGTAAAGACGCTGTATTCCATAGACCAAGGATCTCAAGCTACAAAGTAATTTGGAATTTAGGATCTAAGACAAGAGGTGCCAGAGGGCAAGAGGTCAGGGAGAAACACTGTTTTTTGCAGGTAGCTCTCTGAAGAATCCACAAGCAGGGATAGTATTATGCTTTAAGTACTGTCCTTTGAGTACTTATCCTAACTTGTCATACAGAGAGATATTAAACTGTGGAGATATGGGGCAAGGAATTTTTTTTAATGGTGGTAAAATATACAAAACATAAAATTTTATCTATTTTACAGTGTACAATTTGGTGGCATTTAGTACATTTACAATGTTATACAACCATTACCACTACCTAATTCCAGAACATTTTCATTACCCCCAAAGGAAATTCCATACCTATCAAACTGTCACTCCCTGTTCCCGCGTCCCCAGCCCCTGACAACCACTAATCTGCTTTCTACGATTAGCCCCTATGTTCTGATTTTATGTTTTCACCTGTTCTGGGTATTGCATAGAAGTGGAATCACACAATATGTGGCCTTTTGTGGATGGCATCTTTCACATAACATAATGTTTTCAAGGTTCATCCATGTATTGGCACTTCATTCCTCTTTAAGGCTGAATAATATTCCATTGTGTAAATTTTCCACATGTTGCTTATTCCTTCATCAGTTGATGAACACTTGGGTTGTTTATACCTTTTGACTATTGTGAAGTGTGCTGTGAGTATTCATGGACAAGTTTTGTTTGAACACCTGTCTTTTTATTATTTTGGTTATATACCCAGGAGCAGAACTGCTGAGTCTTTGGGCAGGGGCTTTTACTTAGACATTTTCTTGAGGTTCCAGGAGAAATTCAGCAATTTACATAAAACAGAAGGACAATATCCAGCATGGATGTAAACCTTAGACTGAAGGCCCAAAGCAACCTAGCAAGGAAAAAAGCACCAGGAAGGACCCACAGGAATGGATGTCATTGATCCCAAGCCAACCAGGGCACCAATGGAGAGGTGGTGAGACCATGGGCCACGGACTAGAGCATCTGAGTTCAAATCTTGTTATTGCTACTTTCTAGTTGTGTGACCTTGAGCAAGTTATGTAACATTCTGAGGCTGTCAGGTCTCATGTGTAAAATGGGAATAACGGGTGGTGGTGGTGACAGTAATGGTCATCATGACAATGATGGTGAGGATGGCGGTGGTGGGGATTGTGGGGATATCATCTTGTTTCCAATGTTTTAAAAAGTATAAAGTAGAATAAAGTTTGGGAAATATGCCTTAGTATAGTGCCTCGAAGATGGTGGATGATTAAAAACTCTGGAATCTGAGTCTAGATATAGTGCTGCTGTCACGTGAGAAGTAAAACATCGCCAGCTCAGACCACAAGCCTGCTCTCTGGATGGCCCGCTGCCTGGACGCACTCTTTCCAGCCGAGTCAGCCAATAACGCTTAAGGTCCTCGGTGGTGCAGGACCCAGCTCCTTGTGGAAATTTGTCAAAATGACCATAACCAAGTGCTTCTTCTCATCACCTACCTTCTTGAGAAACTGATCTACTTACCGTGTTCGACATTATCGTGAATGAAAGTAGAGATTACACAGGAGAGAAAAGATAAGCAACCTAGAAGACAAAAGAGATAAAGGTGAAATTTTCCATACTTTTCAAAATATTATGGAGGAGATTGGCCTAAAGAATCTATATTTTGCCACAGGAATGATAATGAATAAGCCTTGAATGTGGGTTTTTTATCAATCAAGAGAATATCTTGTTGTTGCTGTTTTTTGTTTGTTTGTTTGTTAGCTTTTTTGTAAGCAGATGAGTAGACAGATAGATCTCTGCTGTTGTTCTGGGAAAGTGGCTCAGATCAAGCAAAACAGAAGATAATCCTCTGCCAAAGTGAGGAAGACCGAAAGATAGCTATAAGTAGGCTGATCACATAATTGATCATTCAGACCAGGGGACTAAAGGGATGATATTAATGATTAGGCCTAGACAATGACTGTAGGCCAGGGCTGCCCTGGAGTCCTGTAGACTGATGGTCACCCTGGCTTACAGGTCATGAAAGAGGACGAGTGGAAGGACTTTCCAGCTATCTCTGAACATTATCAGGGCAGTTGGGTTACAAGCAACAGAAACCCATTTGATTATGGAGTTGGGGGGAGGTTAAGATAGATTGGAAGGATGGTGATGAGAGGAGGGTCTCATAGACTCAAAAGGAAACTGGAGAACTCTGGGAAAGAATAGGAAGCAGCTGCAGGGGCCTGGGTGGCATGCACCAGCAGTTGGTGGCTGTTGTTGTCAGGCGCTGCCTCTAGCATGAGTCGGCTCTCCCACAGTCCATCTATGCAGGGTTCTGTTCAATCCAGATTCTCAGCAAGAGGCCCCAGCTGGCCTGGCTTAGCTCAGGGGCCCACTCTTTGGCCCCTGAGGGCAGACACCTTGACTAATTCTCCCAAGAAAAATGTGCACTGGTGACTGGGTAGTTCCCCAGAGCAACATCAGAGAAGAGAAGAAGTGGGCGAGCTGGTAAAACCAGCAGAAGCCATGGCACTTGATGACCAAGAACCTCAGTTGACCTCCCCTTTGTTCCCCAAACAGCACTTCACCTGCATCACAGTCATGGCTATGTTCATCCATTCACCAACAAGCATTTCCTGTGCAGTCGCCGTATGGAAAGAGGTGTTAGCCGTTTCTGAGAGACAGCAGTGAGCAAAATGCACATGATTCTTGCCTCACAGAATTTCCATTCCACTTGGGCAGACAGGCTTTTCTTTGCCTTTTAATTGCCTTAGTTGGACTTTTTAATTGTATTAATAATATATGCTTGTTGTAACAAGCGAACCAATACAATGACAGGAAAGAAAAATTTAACATAGCTGCATAATATTACTTTTTCTATTTTTGAGACAGGGTCTTGCTCTGTTGCCCAGGCTGGAGTGCAGTAGTATGATAAAGGCTCACTGCAGCCTCAAATCTGCTGGGCTCAAGTGATCCTCCCACTTCAGCCTCCCCAGTAGCTGGGACTACAGGCGTCCGCTACCACACCTGGCTAATTTTTTAATTTTTCTAGAGCCAGGGTTGCCCAGACTGATCTATATTGCCCAGACTTGTCTTGAACTCCTGATATCAAGCAACCCTCCTGCCTTGGCCTGCCAGAGTACTAGGATTATAGGCATGAACCACTGTGCCTGGCCCTATAATATTTCATACAGTGACTGCATCATTATTTATTAAAACATTCCTCTGCCAAGTCATTGAGGTTATTTCCTATATTTTATTCTCATAATAAGAACAATGGAAACAATATGCATACACATTATTATGGCAGTTTGTGTACATGTGTGTATGCATATATCTATACATGTTACCTATATCTCTATCTGTATATATGTGTGTGTGTGTGTGTGTGTGTGTGTATATATATATCTTTGTGTTACTATTTTTATTTCTATGAAATAGTCTTCCAAGTGGTATAGTTATGTCAGACATCTGTATCTTCAATTGTTGTTGCTGTTTTTTGTTTGTTTGTTTGTCTTTTGTAAGCAGATGACTAGACAGATAGATCTCTGCTGTTGTTCTGGGAAAGTGGCTCAGATCAAGCAAAACAGAAGATAATCCTCTGCCAATTCATTTGCCCCAAAATTGCAGCAATTAACATTTCTATCACCAATTTATAAGTGTTGTTTTTTCCACAACATCTCCAGTACTAGGTGCTATCATCATATTTATTTTTGCCAAGCTGGTGAGTGTCGGATGGTTTCAGATTCTTATTTTAATTTGAACTTTCCTGGCTACCAGTGGGGTTGAGCATTCTTTTATCTATTTATTGGCCCTTTAATTTTTCTTTTCTGAAAACC